ACATATATGGAAAATATATTTTAACATAAGCATTTGGGGGAGAAAAATTTAACTCTCACCTGGCTATGCAAGCAAACAGACCAGGAAATCAGGTTTAGAGAAGTGGGAATTTACTCCATCATTTTGTATTTCACTGCCATCCATCACACACAGCAAGAGTGTCCCCCATCAGCTTGACATGAAGAACGACACCTTCCTGTGAAGGACATTGTCCAAAGCACCTGGGAGGCCACACCGCTTCCCAGTCTACTCCTGGGGACAAGTCACCAACCCAGGGCACTGACACCAGGGTCCGTGCTGCCTTCAGCCCCAGCCCCGCATCCACGAGCCCCAGCATCACTCCCGATAGAGTCTGGTGACCACAGCTCCTGGAGTCATCCACCACCCACCTCACCGCGGATCCCCAGCATCGTGTTTGGTGACTGCAAGCATGCGGGGACCAGGCTGACGCACACTTGTAGGATGCTGTGCTGGGGCTACAAAACCCTGTTGCTACTAGTAGCACAGCACAAAATCAGAGTCTAGCAGGACATGATTTATTGCCTGACAGTGCCTTCCAAAACCCCCACCAGTGTTTTGAAAATATCAGGCTACGCAGAGAATATAATTTGTCAAAAATAATGAAAGCTTTGTTCCTTTCATCATATAATATCTAATGTTTCTTTCTCCAGCCAAAGTTCCTTTCTGGTCTTGGACTAATTACTTTTTCAGCCTGTAGCAACAAGCATTTGCTAATAATAATCACTGGAGAGCTTGGAAACTGGTTTCACAAAATGTCCTCAATCTTAGTTTGTAAAGGAAGAAAAGATATGCAGAATTAGCCATGTTTTTTCAGTCAGCAAGAATGGTGTACGCATACCGCTTTCCAGATGGAAAAGCAAAAGCATGATTCCTTGCCTGAACTTTATGCAATATAGATAAATGCGCGTGCTTTTGTGAAATACATTCAAGATGGCTGTGAGGTAAGTCGAGTCTTGTGCCTCTGAAATGACCCAATGGACTACAGTAAGACATGGCATTAGGGTAAAGTTCTATTGCATACGTGAGGTATTAACTAAATCTGAATATACTTCTTGCTCTCTTGCTGGATGATGTCTTGCGTATCCCAGAAAGCTTGGGTTAACCCTTCTGTGGATGGAGCCAAGCAGTTGTATTCACAAGGGCAAACTGCTGTGGTGCAACATGTGCCCGTGAAGCAATACTCAGGAGGGGGATCGTTTTACAAGGCCACAGTGATACCAAGTGTTACGGAGAGGTTCAAAGCGTGGCCTGCAGCAGGCTTTAGGGGGGTTTTGTACGCAGAGCAGGATGCAGCTGGGTGCACTGGAGGGTGCCAAAGAGGGGTGCTTTGAGCGGGCAGGAGTGTCATGCCCTGACGGGAGACCAGTGGCCTTCCGAGCAGCTGTGGGGGCCAGACAGGGTGCCCCAGGGCACCCAAAATACACCCAGTTATTGCTCGTTGAGTCATGATCCCACTTCCATTAGCTTTTAATGCTTAGGTGCCTATCTTGCTTGTATCTTCAGCAGCCCTGGTCCAGCCTAGGCTTGAAGGGCAACCCCGCTGCCTTGCTTCCAGTGCAGACCACCCCGGCAGCCCCGCTCACCCAGGTTACCCCCTCCAGCAGGCAGCCCCAAACCCCACATCGAGCCCTGTCTGGTTCGGCAGCACTCTCCTCCATGCCATGGGCGCTGAGGGCTCCTCCCTGGAGCCAGACTTTTTGGGCTCTGGGCAGCACTCAATGACCGTATGTTGCACATCCTGGCAAGGCTTGGCTGCAGCTGGGAGTCTCCAGTGGCTGGCTTCACTGCAGGGTTTGATGGCATCGCTCTGGGCGGGAGGAAAGGAAGAGCCCTTGTGTTTGCAGTTTGACAGCCCTCCTCCAGTGACCTGATTTACCCGCCCGACTCAGGGTGCGCCTACGCCAGGGTCCTGCCTCTGTCCCTGGCTTGCAGCAGATGTTTCGAAAGAGAGCGCAAGAAATCCTGAAGGTGACAGCTACAGAATAACCTGCCAACAGGGAAAATTTCCTCCAAATCCTATTACTCAGAGGTTGGCTTCAACCCTGGAGCATTAAGCTCTATATCCCCTGTAAGCGTCTGTGTGTTTGTTTGCTCTCTACGTCCCCTCCACGCTGACTCTGAATCTTCTGGGTATCCAAAGAGAGGACAAAGAGTCTCACTGCCATTTTTCTGTTTAAAATAGAGAAATTCTTTAGGTTAAGGCTAGAAAGAAAAAATAACTTGCAGTTCCAGATATTACGCCTGTCCTGGAAGGACTTTATAATCACTTTTCTACTCTCAGGAAATAGTTTTGCTCCCCACAGAAGGCTACACCAGCGACATTGACATCTGCCTGGTAGGCTGTTCACAGAGCCAAAGCATATTAAATGCACGGAATAAGCGATGTCGAATAACGCAGTTCCAGTTACACCATATTATAGGGGGATGGGAATGGTAGGGACACAAATAAGCATGAAGGGATGGCAGTCAGATGATGCTTATACATTATTGCTTCTAATTTTCTAAATTATTATCAATGAGAGGGATGGATGGGTAAATACCAGCATGAACTGTCAGCAGTATTTGGTAGAAATCTCAACTGTCATTCTTGACAGTGTACTTCAAACACAGAAAACTTCAAATTTAAAATGAAGCCCTTTTAATCTGATAAAGTTGCCAGGAAGAATAAATAATTAAACATATTAAACCGTGGTGCTGCCAGCTCATCCCCTCTCGGCAGGCACAATGTTGCAAAGCTGGGTCTGAAACCTGTCCTTCGGTGAGGAATGCAGCTCCCAGCCCCAAAACTTTCCCGCCTCTCTCCATGGCCGGCCGGGTGGCTTACCCCGGCTGCTTCTGCTGCCGGCTTCTTCCAGGACTGCAAAACTTGCTCAAGAAAGGGGCTTTGCACTAAGGGATTTCCTGCAAGGAGCAGGAGCACAGCACATATGAACATGACATGCATGACACAAGGGTCTGCCTTGTGTATCTGTTCAGCATCCTTGCATATGACTGAGGTGCCTTAGTGTTACCTCAAAATACCAATATCCCTATAATAACCTTACGGGAAAGAGAGTACATTAGGTGTAAAGCAGAGAGAGACACGAAGGTGAAATAAAAATTGGAAGGAAGACTGTACTTAAGGAGAAAATCAGAAAATGCTTGTGGGTAAAAAAAATCTCAGCTGAAATACTGAGACAGTATTCAGATAATATCAAATTATTACTCAAAAGGACCATGGAAAAGGCTGGGATACAAGAAAGACTAAGAGTATAGAAGAATGAATGGAGAATATGAAGAAAAAAAGGGAAAGAAATAATCATTATTGTCACTTTTTTATTTTGTAGAAAATTTGGGTTTGTACAGCATCTGACTTAACCATTTATCAAACAGACAGCCTCAAAGAAATTCGCAGCCCTGGAAATGGGGGCCAGAGACAAATTGTATATACTTCGCTATGACTCTTCTTGGAAGCTACAGATGTTCGTTGTTTGGACACACAATGGACAGATTAATGTCTCCAGATGTTCACCATCCATCCTCCCAGAACATTAATGGGCAGGCCAGGGAATGAATGCTTTTAGCAGAAACTTCGGTTTCCGCTACTGCTTCAGACAAAGTATTTTGTGAGTGTTTATTTTCTGAAGAGCACCTGCTCCAAATGTAGGGAGCATACACTACAGAGCAATGCCCCTCCGTGCCACCCCCCAACACCACACAAAGCCTGCAAACCGTCCATACAAGTGCTGATGAACTGATTCCAAAGAGAATGAGAATCCAGCATTGCTTTTGACTATTTTACCTGATAGGAATAAACAAATATTTAAAATTATAAAAGTATTTATGTGGTTGAGTGGCTTGGAGAATCAGCACAGTGATAGTACGTCTCTTGAGCCACAGACATAATAAGGCAACTCCTGTAAGAAATTTGAATGGACTGGAATTTGTCCATAATTATACTTCTTATTCACAGAGGAAAAAAACATGCATCAATTTAGCATTACCAAATGTGATATAATTAGTTGTCAAACATTTATTTATTCTTGTAGAAAAAATTGTGATGACATTTTTGGGAAGGCTCTAGATAACAAACGCCCATTTGAATTTTAAGAGAAAAGCTGCTTACCGCCAATTCTCAATGCCATGTCATTTAAAAACATACGTGAAGCACTGCTGAAAAATGGTAATTCAGCAGCAGCACCCAAGTCCCCCTGAAAATTATTTGGATAGTTTTGAAAATACTATCTTTAATATTATTGGCATGGTTCCCTCTCATTCCCATTCGTGAATTCCCACCGTCAAAAAGTAACCTTCTGCTGAAGCAAACAGACTTAATCCTACAAAAAATACTGTAAGTGAAGGAAGTACACTTGTTGCCTTCAGTGTGTGAATCTATAAGAGAAAAAAAAACCCAGGATTTGGTCTTCCACTGATATGAAGAGGATGTTAAAGAGGCATGTGCTTTTTTCAACTTGAATAATTTCAGTGAAATGGATGCTCAGGTGGCAGCTGGGAGGACTTGAGTTTCTCAGCTTGGGCTACAGCTACGTTACAGATGTACGCTGTCCCGCAGCGGAGTATCTCACCCTGAGAAGAAGAGCAGTGCTCTGCAAGAGGCCGTGCCGTTTCACTGGTTCTTCTGCCGGTGCTGCGCTGAGCGGCACCAGTTTTCCTCTGGGGTGGTCAGGTCACTTCAGCTGACCTGAATTTGCTCTCAAAATGCCTTTGCCATAAATCAATGGAGAGAAGATCTGAAAAACTGAAGGTAAAATCCTGGCTCTTCTCCAGTGAAACCATTGAAGAATTTAGCTACTCCTTTCAACAGAACAAGGAATTCGCCCCAAAAAGATCGATATCCAAATATCCCACACAAAATCTGTGGGAGCTGTTGTATGCAGCAGCTTTGAAAAAGCACTCACTTCTGCCTGCAGGGGGGTAACCCACTTACATAGAAAAAAACCCCACATGGGGTAACCCACTTACATAGAAAAACACCCACATTTTGTGACAGCCAGCAGAAAAAGATAAGAAAGAGACCCTGGATAGGAAAAATAAGATTAAAAAAATTAGCATGCCATTAAACCAAGTATAAATACACATTATATTACATGAGTGAACTGTGTTTTCTTTAGTGTACGTGCCATTTTTAATTAATTCATACACTAAGTGCTAAAGTGTTTCCTAATGCCATTAGGTGGTGCTTTCAGTAAGTATTAGAATAAATAGTTCTTGCACGGTTCTTTTCTGCATCATGTTCTCATTTTCTTAAGTAAGAGAAAATTTAAACAAAACACCACGGGTGCCTTCTCCTTCTGAAGCCCACTGACCTCACACAGAGCTGTGTATCACGTTTCTGAAGCACTTTGGTTCCCCTCAGGCGTGATAAACTGCACTTTGGGTACGATGAGGGAGGGGTTCGTTCTCCGCATGGAGTTGCTCCTCCGAATGGAGTTGTTTCTCCTCATGGAGTTGCGTTTCCGCAGAGAGTTTTGGTGGGACAGCTCACTCTTCTGCAGGGTCTGGATGAGAATGGATGGCTTCTCGTCGAGCTCTCGAGCACTGCAACGTGGTGCTGCCACTTTGATGGTGTTGCCAAACTTGGAGTAGTCGACTGCGTACACGCCTTCCTCTTCAGTGACGATGGGCACAAAGCGATGACCCCACAGGATCTCCTCTGCTATGTAGGAGGTTCTCGCCTGTGTCGTGATGCCAGTCGTTTCTACGACTCCTTCAAGTATCACGATGAGCTCCAGGTCCTGGAGCGCCAGGTCAGCAGCGGAGATATCGTAAAGAGGACTCCGCTTGTCTATGACATGACAAATGATTAAGGGAGCCACAAGGAAAATATTGTTGCTTTCAATGGGGTTATCCACAGGGATATCTACTTGGTGAATGGGTATGACTTCTCCTTCAGGGGTCGTAGTCTTCCTCACAACCTGGATTCTCACTGAGGCGCTAATGATCATGCTCTTCCTCAGGTCTCCCACTCGAAACATGAAGCAAAGTTTGCCATTTCGAACTGCAATTACCGCCTGCCGGCTGAAAATCAAGGTCTCAGCCCGCCTGTGAGCTTGTGCGGTTTTCATGAATATGCAGCCCAGCATGACAGCGTTGATGATCAGACCCACAATGTTCTGCAGGATCAAGACCGTGATGGCCAAGGGACATTCCTCTGTCATCATCCTGCCCCCAAAACCAATGGTCACCTGAACTTCAATGGAGAAGAGGAAAGCAGAAGTGAAAGACCTGGAGAAGAAGATTGCACAAAGTTAACTCTAAGGACATCGAACACAAACTGAGAAGCTATTAACACATACTTTCTAGAAACAAACTTAAGGACCTATTTGTACAGTCCTGGTACACTTAAGCCTTCTGTTAACACCAGCAAAAGCATTGCATGCTCGGTGACTCCATTTTTGTATGATCAGTGCAGTATCTGATGGTGACAGGGAAGACCTCAGAGCCTGAACTCCTAAAAGACCGTCTGTAACACTAGGTGTCCCTGAGAAGCTCACTAGATCCTCTGTTCAGGAACACATGCTACCCACTGTGTTAGTCGACAGTGCTGTAACACCTGGGCTTTCCACCTTCTCCATCCCATGAAGCTCTTGGTGGAGAGTGGTGGTTTTGGCAATAGTGAGCAATCAGCTGGCACACCGAGATTCTTCCACCAGCCTGTGCAGGGGAAGGAAATGGGGAAAATTGCAGCATTTCACTCATGCTGCCTAAGTCGTGACCCCCTTTAGCAGGATTTCCTGGAGGGAAAGGGGACGCTCCCATATTTGTGACACTTCCCAAACCCTTGTTTGCCTTGTGACTGAGCCCGCAGGATCAGGCTGCAGAGAGAGGCCAGTGGCCTCTGCACATCGTGGCAGGAGGACGATGCTGTGACCCAGGGTTTGGGTTTAGCTCACTGCCGTGGCAAGACTAGCTGGTAAATTTCAACACAGGAGTGGGCTGTAGAAATGTGGGTTAAGTTAAACATCCTTAATATGCTATAGTGCTGGACAGAGGATGCTGTCCACAAACTTTCCCAATACATTATTTATAGTAGTCCACAATGCCATATTCCCTGTATACGCCAGGGTCTTTCATTTCCTTTTATAACCAGATACATCCTTCACCATCATCTCTTATGCCCTAAAACAGTATCCTGGGGTTTATCTGGTAGACATGCAGCACGTTGGGTCTCATATGAACCAGTATCATAGTCACCCTTTTAACACAATGCAATCCACCAACATTTGAAGCATTACCATGCTCAGCATGGCTTTACCTGTGGAAAATATATGTCCTGTCCACAAAGATGGTTCTAAACCATTCATTGGTTTTCGTTTGCTTTTCAATTAATCTGCTTTTAAATAACTTTTTTTTTTTCTTTAACCATATTTTCAGTGAAGCTGGGGTCATGAGGAAACATTAAAATAGCACAGGCAATATCAGGGATAATTTTCTGTAGAATGAGAAAGTTCACCTTTCAGAAAACCAGCCAGTGATTGCAGAAATATCTTTGAAAGAACTTTGTTCTTTTTTTTTTGCCTTTTCTATTTTTTTAATCTTTGGCAGGTTCCCTTGTATTGAGGGGTTTATTTTTGCATTTCACTCTGAAGAAATCAGGGATGAAGGAGTTAATTAATAGAATTCACGGAATGATTTCTTATGTTCATGAATATTCAGTTACATGCAGAATGAAGCTGCTGGTTTAAACTTAATTCAGCTTAACTCAGCTTAAAGCTCTGTGGAGTAAATATTCTGATTTCCCTTAACAGTACTCCTTAAAAAAAAAAAAAAGAAAAGAGAAGAGAACCCATCTTTCTACAGTGGAAGTAACTGAAGCAGCAAGTTTGTACAGCGTTTTGACCATGTGATGAGGGAGCCAGAAGCTCCAAATCACACTATTCCCAGGTCCTTCCCTTTAGAGCTGTGTAACAGTTTTCCTCTTTGGATAATGCTTGCTTTGTGTGGCAAAGAGCTGCAAGACTTAGAAATTTCTGCAGTACTTTGAAAAATTAAAGTGTTGTGCAAGTTCTAGGCACTGTTTAAAATTTCCAAAAACCAGGTTTCCCATAAATCTGTCATGGCACCTACCCAAGAAAGCTCTCCTGAAATATCTGTGGGCCTAAGTCTCAAGAAAGTAGGTTAAAAAATATTTGCCATTATTTTGGCATACATATCATTGCAATATTATATATATTTTACATCCAAGAACTCACCATTCTTAAAAATGTCAGCAATCATATTGCTATTTCACAACTTATCCAAAGCGGTAGCCATATTTAACAGGATGACGTATTTCACTGTGAAGAGTAAAGATTTTCCATGGCTTGGACATGGACACTTGAGCAGCTCTTGGCTGAACCACCCCCATTACTTGCACGAGGGAGTGACGTGTGTTCTTTGTGATGGGCTAAACCAGAAAGTTACACCGGTTCATCTGCTCCACTGTTTCACACCCCTCCAGGCTGTCCTTGCAGTGGAGGTTAGCAGCCATCCTGGAAGAGCCGCCTGTGTGGGGCTGCCGCAGCTGGGGCTATGGGGAGGGAGCGAGGGGCAGAGCCGTGGCCGTGGGTCTGCCTCGCCCCAGCGGCACGAAGCCCTCGGCAGCCGGCTCAGGCTCTGCGGGGTGGCCCCGGAGCCCCATGGGGTGGGCCAAGCCGAGGGGGCTGCCAACCAAGCGGAGGGACGTCCCCCTGGGTGACCCTGAAGATCAGTACACCTGGCACAGTGTAGCTACTCGCTAATTCGGGTTGGACAAATCCCACAAATCCCAGAAACACCAGTGTTACACCCCAGCGGGTGCAAGCTGGGTCATGACGTCTCATTTAAGAGGCGACTGCTTGTGGCCAGTTATTGGAAAAGAAATAAGGCAGCAACGCCCCCTCCCCGCCCCAACCCCCCAACCTAATGAAGGTTAGCTTGGAAAAATCCCCATTTCCTTTAGCTTGGAAAATCCCCATTTAGCAAAAAAGCGTCAAAACAAAGAGAGAATGAAATCTCCGCTCCTTCATGAGCCAGATACAATGTCCCTTCAAACCCCGTGAGGTGCCTCAAACCTATGTGCAGGAGAAAGGAGAAAAGGGAAGCGGATACTCTGATGTCTCAGCGGACCCTGCAGCCACCCCCAGCCCCTCACAGCACTGCAATGTGTAACGGCAACTGATCTGGGGCAGTCTGGTTGTACCGAATCAGGATTTTTCTGCTTAAAAACCTAGTGCTACAAAAAGAGATTTTACTGATGAGATGACAAAGCGATCTTATTGCTTAACCCCACTTACAATTAACAAACACTCTTCTATTCCGGGTATGTATGTGTAAGTTTATCGGTGCCTTGAAAGTTGTCGTGGCTTTGGGGATGGAGAGTGAAATACTTTAATGGGGACATTTAACCTAGTAGTCCCGTAAGCTTTCACTGTCTGACACATCATGTTCGCATGGAAACTGTTCCTCTGTCAAACTGCTGGCCTTTGGCTTCATCAAGGTATTTTTGAGCACCCCATATTTAGCTGTCTAATCAGAGTCATCTTGAAAGACATCTAGTTTTGCCCTAAGTGGCACTTTTCCCGCTAGCCCTGCCTGACACCCATGGCCAGTGCCCTGCCTCTCAGGCACCGCTTTTGGGGTGGCCACCTTTTGACGGCGCGGCTCACGGCTCGCACCATGCTGGGGATGCTCCCGCTGCTGTAGACAACGTTACAATACATATAACACATACCCACTCTTGTAGCAGGCTCTTATCTCGACAGGCAAGGTATGTTACCCACAGAGTGTGGAGACACATGAAAAGCAGCAGGTCTCCCTCTCTTTCAGATCCTGTAAGGAATCAAAGAAATCTACAGTACAGTATTTTCCAAGCCCAGAAGGCTTGCTGAATTTACGTAATCTAGAGGAAAACACTGCACTTTTCAATTGTCTCAACCAAACACAACGGTTCATGTAAACCAAAAGCTGCACTCATCCCACCGACCGTACTTTACCTGACACACGTCACGCATGGTGTCCACTTCGTGCTGTTCGTAGTGCTTTCTGTGCTTGGGTCCATGTCACCGTGGGCAAAAGCCACCAGCCACCACATCATGGCGAAGAGCAGCCAGCTGCACAGGAAGGACATAGTAAAGATGACCAGCGTGTGACGCCACTTCAGGTCCACCAAGGTGGTGAAAATGTCTTGCAGGAATCGCCCCTGCTCGCGGATGTTCTTGTGTGCCAGGTTGCATGCCCCGTTCTTGGCGATGAAGCGGGCTTTGCGTGGCCGGTCTCGGATGCGCGGCTTGCGCAGGTTCTCGGCAGCGATCCGTGCCAATACATACTCTTCAGGGATGATACTCTTCCGAGCCAACATCTTCCTGCCACCATAGTCCACTCAGTGAGACGCAAAATGGGGGGTGGTCCCTCTAGCACGTCTCCGCAGGGCTCACTCTACCCTGCAAAAAGAGAGAACCTGGTCAGATTTGTCACCTATGCACTACAGCAAGCAGCCCCGACTAGGTACCCCCTACCAACAACCATTACATTAAATGTCACTGTATGACTACTTATTCCACAGTGCCCTCCCTCTTTCAAGCCATCATTTTTATATGAGCAATTGGTATCAGCTCGTAACAGAAACGGAAGATGCTATTTTGACACTCCTTGCAGGAAGGGTGGCTGCAGAACAGTCTTGCAAACTTGGTGTAAAGTAACATGACGTACGACAGGTCGGTTCCTCAGGCTGTTTCTCCGGGAGATAGCCGTGCCCAGGTGGGTACCGCAACACGGAGCACGAAGTGATTCGCATCCTTCAGGACCTGAAGAATCGGACTTCTCTGGTTTGAACCAAGGCTAGTCTGCAGAAAGACCGTGGAGATTCATTTCTTACGGCTATAGCCCCGCGGCACAGCCAGGAGCCCTGCCGAAAGCCCCCGTCCAGTCCCCCGCAGGCATCACAAGAAGGAGCGGAGCTGGAGGTGCGGCAGGCAGGGAACGGGACTCCACGGAGCAGGCGGTCGCATTTCCCCTTCGCAGCTCTCCTTCCTTTCCGGGATTAGGCGGGGAAACCCTCCCTTTATTCCCAAACTTTGTCCCCCAAACGGGTGACAGAACAAACCTACGGAAAGCCCGGCTCCCCGCAGCTCCCCGCCGGCTGGCCCGTCCCACCGGGGGAGGGCAGGGGCTGCCTGACCCCCGCCGCTCCGCAGGGACCCCCCGCCCCGG